TAAGTCTATTACAATCTTTAATTATCTAAGTTGGACCCACCTATATATTTAATAATGTCTAGGTTTAATAATATATAGGGATTAGTCAGGAAGCGACAAACTCACGATGAAAGAGTTTTATTTCAAGCTCGTACAAAAGAAATTGCAAAAAAGTAATCAATTTTACATATTCTTTATTTCTATGGGAAATGGATCGAAAGTGAAATTTTACAAATATAAGCTAACGTAATGAAATGTTTAGATTGCAAAACCTTGACGAAAAAGAATTCGAAATATATGAACTCATAGAAAATTCGGAAAGAAAAGGTGTGAATAATTTAAAAAATTGAAATATAATTTGGAAACTAATTAGTTATCTTTTTGTTAAGGTATCGCAAAGTCTGAAATCCAAAAGACAACTAAGATTGTACAATCCATAGTTGAAAGTAGTTTAAAGTCCATGCAAGACCAACAACTGGTTAAAGAGGTCAAACCAAAAGTAATTATTTCTTTTGTAATTTGCCTTTTTTTTCAATATTATAAAGTAATTATCTTTATCGTTGTTAACTTTGTTTTTTTTCTTAGAACAAAAAATTGTATATGCTATTTGATATTAAGCCGGCTGATGAATCTCTTAGCAGATTATTGTACAATAATGGAGAAGTTGATACAGTCGTTGTAGAGGCTTTAAAATCTTTATGCTATAATTTTATATTTCACAGAGTTTGTATAAGAAAAATGTGGTGTTATTCACGCAGTTTATACCAAACAATCTAAATATGATTGAAACTGCTCATTTAATAGAGTTTTCCAAAGGATTTGGAGGAGGATGCAATATATTTTCCTGGTTACACGGGTTATGCGACTCTAGGAAAAATTGTACAATGCATACAAGAGTCAAAATTAATCACAGAAGTAGATGTCGAAGAAGCTGATATACGTCAAATTTTAGATGTTCTGATTTTTGAAGGGAAAATCGTAAGACTTTTTTCGGGTGCAATACCTGATTCAGATACAATGGATATCATTGATACAAATCAAGATTCCCAAGTTATGTATATGGCAAGAAAACCAAGAGCAATGAGTAACGCTTGGACTCCAACACCGTGTGGCAGGTGTCCGGTATGTGAATCTCTAGTTTAAAATTCATATTTTGCAAGGATTCAAATAACATTTTTATTCAGTATTTTAAAGAGGAATGCACAGAAGATGGGGAAATCTCGCCGTCTAATTGCGTGTTTTATCCCCAATGGCTTAACAGAGGTATTAGTTTGATCCATGAGCCGAGTATATCCAAAGGGAAGGGAAAAAGTATCATGGACTGGTGAACACAAGGCATTTATTATTATCAAACAAAAAATCAGCGAGAAAGTAAATGTTCTTTGAATTACAATCCAAAGAACCAGGTTTTATATAATAAATTCTAAACCTAAGTAAACTTAGTTTAGTTCAGAATCAAATTTAACATCTGGTTTTCAATATTTTGTAAATATAAAAAACAAAGTACATTATTAGAATATGTATATTTAATCTTTTGAATAACTTCATAACTTTATTTAATTAGGGATTGGGACCGTTTAACCGTTTAAAAATTGCTCCATAATTCAGGGCAGAATTATGTTGGTCGTGGGCCGGAATTATCTTAATGCCGGCCAATTAAACGATTAAGAAAAATTTTAGGCGGTTCCAATCCCTATATTTAATATATATTTGAAAACCCACATATAAGGATTTGCTAACACCTAAGCGTTTGACACTTTTTCGAATCAACAAGCCTTCCAATTATTAAGGTTTGGAGTTTCGGGAGGAGGTTTCAGAAGAGATTTCAGGTTTCTGAAGGGGTTTCAGGTTTCGGATAGGGTTTCAAGTTTCGGATGAAGTTATAATCCGAAACTTTCGGATTTGTCAGTGACCAACTCTAATTCAAAGTCAATTAGTGCATTGGAGTTGAAAATAACGAACTTAATGCGTTCAATTATTATCAAAGATGGAAAATTTTAATAAGACATTCTGAGTTGGTTATGGTTAACAAACAAAATTGATACTACTGTACTAAAAAAAAAAGAACAGATGATATTTCAATAATTTACTATACAGAATGAATAAATGAATAGAACATATATTATGAAATAAATTTTGAACCGAACAAATGAAATGCAAAAGTTTCAAGATACATTTACGAAATAACGCCTTAACTATGTAGTTATCGTAATAAATATTAAATATATTTAAAACTTTTAAAATATTGTATTTCCATATATACAATAACTGGGTAGATATTAGAGTGCAGGTGAATCGTCCTAATGATGCCGTAACTTTGCTATAACGTGCAGTAACTATATTAAATAATTATAAAAGTTACGGCATCACGGACGACTCACCTGCACCTCTAGTAGATATCCCAATAAAATTTATAATTTTTTTTAAAAAAAGCCGGGTGGCCGGGTCTGGTTAGAAGTTTTAATGATATGAAAATCAGAAAATTAACTTTGTATAACCTAACACCCTGCAAGTTAACTCACGTTGATGTACGGAATTCTGATGCTGACGGATTCATAATCAACCAAGTAAAAAGTGCATTAGAAAAAAATTCCGAAGAATTTTTATATCAAAAAAAAATAACTGAATTTCTAACACAATTTCAGATTATTTAGTATCTGCCTCATTCACTTCAGCTATATATTATATTCAAAATAGTTGAATTATACATGGGTGCCTAAATTACTCTTAATAAAAAATTATTTCGACATTTAGTCTGTCGAAATTAATTTTTCTTAGTGGCAAAATTAATTTTCATAGTTGTTGAAAACTTTATGCCAAAATACATTAGGTAGCATAGCTATTTTATGGAATTCTTATAAAAAACTAGTAATATCGAACTGTTTGTCGAAATTACCTTTCTTAAATAATTTAGACACCCATGTATAAGTTGAATTCAATTCAATCGCAACCACAACGGAAGCATCAACAACGCAATGGTTCCAGCAGCTCTAACATCGATGACTAACGAAGAAAACTCCAATGACAAAATCACACCCGAAAAAAAAAGAAATATTATAAATACGGAAAAACAAGAAAGAAATCACGAACTATCCGCTGTTAAATCACTAACCCACCCACTTCTACAATCATGAATTACCCGCTATTAAGCCACCTACCAATCCACTTCTAAAATCATGAACTACCCGCTGTTAAATAACTAATTCACCAGCTATCTACCCGCTTCGTTAACATGTCGACAAACTCGCGCCACAGAATTACAAGAACGCCATTGAGCCACCACAAAAAACACCGTGAAATCACTACAAAAGCACTGTAGAGGCACCACAAAACGCCGATGAAAAAACAGAAAATACCGCTAGGCCGATCAATGCTCTAAAAAATAAAAAATCGCCTTCATTAATATCAACTTATTGGGATTGGTTTTAAATCATGTTGATAAGAAATCATATTAAAGTTGATACATATGAGGGAGGTTTGATATAGAAAAATTTTTGCCTTGTGGCTTAGGTCGATATTAACGAGGGTTCTCTATAATAAATATAAAATCTTAAAAATAAGTAAAAAATAAAACATACAGTTTTCAAAAAAATTAATAATTATAACTATAATAATAACCCTACCTATTAAAAAATAAAAACAAAAGTTCATGCATTGCTTGTTAGCTATTTAATATTTTTCTGTTTTTGATAGTGCTGTTAAAAAAGCTTGTCGGACCCGGACATTTAGAACCGACTCAAGCCTGACCCGAACAAAATCCAATATATGTTTTTTGTTCTATGTGATTGGCTAATTTACATCGATATCGATTTGACCAAAATACAGTGCACGAACTCGACTCAAGAACTGAGTCTTAATCGAAGTTCCTTACGAAAGGATCGGACTTTTAACAGCCCTAGTTTTTGATAATATATATGGGCTAGATGCTAAGAAAAAGGACCAAATTGACATTTTTTTCAAAAGTAATTTTTTTCTATAAATTAATTTAGGATCATAAGACACATAAGAAGTTATATTAATAAAATTTTACAGTATAGTCCTTTAAATTTTATATTTTTTTTATAAAAAATTGATTTTCCGAAGATCTTTTTTTTGTCAATTTGGTCCCTTTTCTCAGCACCTAGCCCATATAGTAAGACTACATTATTTTTTAACCCAAAATCTACACCACTTTTTACACTACACTATTCCTTTTTTATTTGACTTTCTATGCTTTTTTTTTGCTTTTATTTATCCGATTTAAGCGTTAATACAGATCCTTTTATTAGCTTCAAATAAACTGGTTTTTAATATACAGCAAAACAATGTTTTGATACTTGGATACGTAAAAAAAATTGAAGAATTTTCTGTCATATTATTTGAAACTTCGTAGATAGCTGATATTGGTAGTTATGCTAGGTTCGTAATAGATATAATCAGCTTTTTCATTTGTCGAGACTTTGATCTAAATCTATTGTCGTTTTTAATTAATATAAAATATAGAAATCTTACATTATTGAAAGTACAGTATAGCTCATTTCTCTGAAGTTTTTATCTCTTAAAGTTCCAAAATTTCATCTTTCACCAAGAGTTCCATCTTTAGTAAGAGTTTTGTCTTTTGCCAATATTTCATTATTTCACTATAGAATTTCATTTTACCAGGTCTAGGTTTAGTCTTTTGCCATTTATTAAATAATTTTATCTAATAGTTATGCCCATGAAAAAAAAATCCCGAATCTATATTCCTGTATTCTAATCATATATAGTAATTGCAAAATAGCAAACCAATCAGCCCTAATATAAAAAAGCGAAATTTGGTAAAAAGATTAGAAATTCATTTTCGCTCGTATAAAAAATAGTGATGGGCAACGCGCGTAATCCCACATCCCACGCAGAGTTTTTAGAAAACCGCAAATTGCCTATTACTAATAAAAAAAGTTTTAATAGTTTTTGCTTATTCGATATTGCTATTATTTAATTACCAAATAAATCGATCTCTAAATAAAAATAAAAATAACAAAAGTGAAAGTTAGTATTTGAAATATCCAGTGCCTTGTTCAGGACCCCGGATATAACATGTCGACCTGAATAAATAACGAAAAAGCATCTCGACACTTTAAAAGAATGCCTGACACCCTAACTAGAGTATTCCTAGTAGACAAACTTTTATAACAGCGGTCCGTGTGTTTTGTTTGACTGGGATATACTACCCATAAGTAATCTAGATCCTAGGAACGATACCCAAAGTTGTGTTATATGTTATATAATAACGTGAGATCAAATACTTCATACTCACCACAAGCTTATATGACATCTACAATATAAAAATATTCGTATTTAGGCATACAAACCGAAAAAAAGTAAAGTAAAAAGTAAAGTAAAATATGAAACCAAAAATTAAAAAGTAGAAATAAAAACAAAAGTGATAAGTGGAAGTAAAGTGAGTAAAGTGAAAAGAAAAGAGAATAATGAAAGAAAAAAATGTTGCCGTGTTTATATTAAAAATCTAATGTTTGTATTGTTTTGAAATCTGCAACTGCGTTAAAATATACGCGTAATTCACGAAATAGAGTCGTTGATTGGTTGTTTTTATTTATCGATAATTCTGATTGAACAGGGGTCTACTAATTTTCCCCAAGTTACTATCCAGGGGAGACCGTCCCAAATTAGGAAACGATTACCTGAGTCACCCGGCCGTTACACAAATGATAAAATTTTTTTTTTATATGTTTTATAATACTATTAGTT